GTGACTATACAGCAACCAGGAGATACAATCTGTTGCGGCATTTAAGAGTTCATTCAGGCAAACGTCCACATTTATGTCGTTTCTGCTTCAAATCATTTAATAGAAAAGATAATTTAATAGCACATGTTAGAAACTGTCATCAGGATTTAGATCGACGAATTAATATTTAAACAACTAATACATAAAACATTTCAAGTTACATATTAAGCATATTATTGATGTGTAAATTTTATGTACTGCTATTATTTATAAAAATTTTATTTTTATAAGTGCTTCAGTTCCATTTATTGTTTATAAATCATATGTAAAAGTAGTTACAGAATCGGTAAAAATTATCAGTCTTGTGGGAATATAAGCCACTATTTTATATTTCTTCAACATATAAATAAATCACATTATACACCTAGAGATCCAGAAGTTAATAAATGCTTCAAAAGCTTATATATTTATAAATTTACAACGTATGATAAAATTAGTGCAAAAATGCATGAAAATATGATAGAAAACTTAAATTTTTATTTGCACTTATGTTCATCAAATGGTCATATATAGGAATCCTAAATATGAGTGCTTAAAAAACTCATGCAATTTTACTGACAAAAGTCAGTACTACTCTAGTATGAAAACGTCAGTACTATAAACAAAATATTAATTAGATCTTATGATATTCATATAGAAAAATTTTGACATAAATGGTTTAAAATTACTTCATGGATGGCTATTCAAATCTCCGAAATCTTATATGGTATATATGGGACTACCTAAAGTCACACTGGCAATGTAAAATAATACTAACGGGTGACACATAACACTTTTCATATATCAAAAGGTAAAAAATGAGAACACCATGCTAATTAGATCCCATGATATTTTAAATATCTTATTTAAATTTTCGGAATGAGCAAGAATTATTTAATTTCAGACAATTAAAACAGATATTTAATATGCTGCATATTTTCATACCTATTTCCCTAAACTATCATATAATCTTATTATACATTTAAAAATAAATAAAAATTACAACAATGAACTTTGTTGCTTAATTAAATATCATCAGGGATGCCATCTTAGCAAATACAAAGCATATAAAAAGTGCAGGAAAGGAATTGTTGCTAAACAAAATCTTATTTATTGGTATTAAGCTATGCATTGAATCTTCAATTTTAGAATAATGAAATTTGAAACAAGATGAGTTGAGTGCTTGGAAATTTTCTCTTTCTGCCTCTTTCAAAAGGACTGTCTAAGCGACAAAACATTTTACTTCAATCAAAAGAATCCTTCCATATCACAATATGCATCAAAAGAGCAAATTTCTCGCAGTTTGCATACATTAAATAATTTTACTGTTTAGAAATTGAAAAGGCAAAATTATACCATTAGTATTCTTTCAGATGAGAAAATTAAAGAAAATAAACTCAGCAGATTACACATATATATGAGTAAATATTCTATATTAGATTTTCTAAAGGAATCAGTTAAAATTATTATTGTTTAATACAATTTAAACAACTTTTTGCCTTCATGTTTTAAATTATTCCTTATCTCTTGGACAATACATACAATTAAAAATTTTTTGTGATGCAATCTAATTTAAACTGAAAGATACTATCTGTTTGACTAGGTGTGTGTGTGTGATTATGGCAAAGCCTCGAGGGCTATCTGCCTAAGGGGAGGGTTGCCTTCGTGGAGGACTTTCTAAGGGAAACTGGCTCGTATACACGTTACACATGAGGAAAACCACGAAAACGCCCATGCAGCCAGCCCGTTTGCGGGATTCGAACCTCGGACCGAACTACCAGTGTTCAGCGACTTTACTGCTCGGCCGCTGGTGGGCCTCTGTTTGACTAGGATTTTAAAAGGATTAATCGTTAGACCAAAATGCAGTTGCAAAGAAAACCAATATAATAAATTCCATGAATTGGTTTGTAATTCATAGTAATTAAATTTCAATTCAGTGAAAGTTGAAAATTCTACTAATAAATTACAGGTTTATTAATCATATGCTTGAAGAAATCAATTATTTAGTCAAAATTCAAAATTTATATAACTCTAAAGAAGCTAGTATTAACTACCTTTTTTAAATTTCTCATCTATAGTGATATGATAATTATTACTTAAACCTTAATCAGAGGTAATAGTTTGATGACTACGATAAGAGATTTAATATAAATATGTACAAAGATCTTATTTTTTCCCTTTCAATTATTATGTATACTTTCTTTCTACTATTTTATAAATTTATACTGGCACATATTTTTGCTTTTACTAAAAAAAAATGGGGTTTTTTAGTTTCAAAGACGTTTTGTACACTGATTACATGAAGACTTTTATCTTTTATAACATATATTTTTCCTTTTCCTCAACGTTGAGCCAGTACTACTTTCACGTTTTAAGATTTTGCAGAAAACAGCATCTTTTAGAAGTTTCTTAATGCTGCCATTTTGGAGTCAATGTACACCCTTCCCAGTGGTTATAATTTTTATGACTGCATCCACGTTTGACACGCCGCACACAAAGTTTAACAGGATAGGATTTTTCGAACACATGTTTAAATACTTAGTTTTGCTATTGGGCACTTTGAACCTTATCGCATACTTTTCCCAAGAACTACCATTTTCTGCTTCTCCAGGGCAACTATCAATTCTACAAGAAACACCGTTTGGTCATCTAAAGAATTAGGTAAATTTTCACTTGAAGGTCATCATATGATTTCAGTAAGTTTTCATTTTTCAATTTTGTTTCCAATAGGTTTTTAGTTTTTTGCCGAAGTAGGCTCAGATTTGATTTTATTATTTCAATCTCTAAAAAATTTTTTCGTTTTCTTGGAATTAAAAAGTTCAGTTAAGCATAATCGAGGATCGCCCACTTTTAGAGTATTGTTTAAATGACTATTTGGTTTAAAGTATATTTGTATTTGACTTTCATATGATAATTTTAGACCAATTTGGTTTTTTTTCCAATGGTCATTTTACATAATGTAAAGTTTTATGGGTTTTTTGGGAGGTTGTCAGTTTGAAACAATGTTATGTTTTATTCTTTTTGCCAAGTGTTTCGAAGGCGTGTAGGGAAAATTCTGGTGTATTTAAGATTCCCTTTTTTTGGTTTTATATGAATTTTAAAGTAATAATAATTTGTTTCTTTTTTCGGTTTTTGATCTCAAATGAAACAGGAGAAGGAAACACATTTTCGAAGCATATTAATCAACTTTTATGAAGCTTTAATTTATTTTCCAGTGATGAGTTCTGAGTTGGAGTTTCAGTAAAAGGAGATTAATTTTATATTTTTATTTCTAGTATATTTTCCCCCTTTTGCATTTTTTAGTGTTCGAGTTTATACTACTATGATCCCTTTTTAATTTTGAATTGTTTAGATAATATGGTAAACCTCTTATACAAGGATGCAATTATTAATATTGTTGAGGAATTACCTTACTTGACTCCAATTTACTTTTAACTTTAGATGCCGTAAGTTTATTTTACTTTAATCAGGCAGCTATAGTGCAGGATGGGTATAAAAAATTTGTTTTTAATTTCTGCCTCTTATTAAGTTTCTTTATGTAATATATATACACACAAACACACATGTAATGAAGCAAATTTTGGATGTAATGATGTAGAAGCATTCCAATTTACAAATGTTTATTTGTAATTATTGAAAAAAAAATTGCAACCACAAATTAGCACACTATCTGTGCCTTTTCAAAAACATTCACATTTTGGATAGCTTTGTGGTAAAAAGAGAAGTAAGCTCCAGTCTATATAGGCGGCAGTGCAGAAAGCAAGTGACTTGTGTTCAAGATGAAATTTTAATTCAGAATGAGTAGTTGAATAAATCATTAATAATACTATAAAATTATTATTGCTTATTTGAGTTTTAGCTCCATTTACATCCCCAGCATTATGTAAGAGCTGCCGCCCAACCGGTATAGTGGTTAGCGTTGCTGACTGCCATGCTGAAGGGCTTGGGTTCAAATCCCGGAGAAGGCATGGATGTTTGTAAATGTATAGTGTCGGTGCGGCATGGCCGAAAGTCCTCGTGTGGCTTGGTGGAAGGGGAGAGGAGTGGGAGACCCTAAGACCCGTCTCCCCTCCCAGGGTGCTCTCCATCAAAGTTGGGGATGGAACTGAGCCAAATCACACTGTCACCTGTTAGGTGCTTGAGGCTGTTGCTAACGGCAGGTGTAATCTTCCACTCCTTGCCCCAGCGAATTTCGTGGGCTGACTATGTCAGACAAGTGAGCATCAACAGCAATAACATGTAAGAGCCATGTGACATTTAGTCTCAAAATGACGCAGTACAAAAAAAGGTATTACTATTTTTACATTACAGAGAGGGAACATCCAAATTAAAATTAAGCATTAAGAGGCTATTGCTAAATTACAAATTATATTTATATAGCTTTTATTTTTCTTACATAAATATGCAAATCAAGATTTTGATTTAAACTAGCAATAGCCTCTTAATTTCCTCTCTCCATTCTAAAATATATAAAAATAGTAATGCCTATGACATCATCTAAATACAGACTGCATCATTTCTAGATCAATCCACCTCGTATGACTTATATAACACTAATGACATAGCTAATTTGGAACTTGAACTCAAAATTTTGAGAAATGAAACTTTCTCTTAATAAGCAACTTAAACCAAAACCTTCTCTTGGTGAGCTTCCAGGTTGGATAACTGCGACTTTTCATTCAGCTCTCTTTCCGTTAAGATACTAGTTAGCTCACTTAGCCTCTGCCAGCTATTGTCTGTTGTTCTAAAAATATAAATTGAATTAAATTGTGACCTTCATAGTACACCCACAATGATGATATGAAATGAAAAAGAATATGTATCCTTAGAATAAATTATTCAGGAATAAAATTATGTATGGAATTTATGGCTACATCTGCCTTAGAGCGTCATCCTTCTGAGCAGTAAAGCCACTCCAAGTTACCCTATTACATATCATATATATATATACATGAAACTAGGTAAAATTATAGAAGTAAACATGTGGTTATGGCATTTTTTATTTCATCAGCAACATCCAATATTAAAGTCTGCAATTTATCCCTTCATAAGAAATGAAATTATATACATTTTTAATAAAACATTTATTGAAGAAATAATATTCAAATTGGTTTAATTTTGAAATGCAAACCAATAAGTGAAAATACAAGACATTTTAAATCTTGTACCAAATAGTAAAAACACCTCAAACCATCTTGATCCCTGTAAAGAAAATAAAACAATTTTGGAATAAATTTATGTTAAAAATAATTTAATAAAACAGCCAATTTTATTGCATAACACAATTCAGACATATACAGACCATATTAATGTAGTTGTAAACATAATAGGCTTAATAATGATTAGCATAAAAAATAAAATTCTCAAAAAATTATCATATTAATGAAGTAATAAAAAAAAAGACATTTTACTGCTATTAATCCTATGTCAAGAAAAGACAATGCATTCTCATAAATATGAGGTTTTTCTCTATCAATAACAGGGAAAGAATATCAAAACTACCATCACTTATCAATAAATCAACAAGTATTAACTTATGACAGACTGCTTCTCTTATTACTGCTGCGAGATCTTGTTCTGTTTTTAAATTTTTATACAACCATACATAAATGCAGTTACATCGAGCATAATATTCAATAAATAATAATAATAATAAAAAACTGCAATTACCTTGACAGAAGTCAACACATTTTTAGAATGTGCCAAACTCTGCCAACCATTTTTAAGGACGTTAAAGGACTATCAATGAAAAAAAATTAAGGACCTATGAGCAAACAGGAACTGAATAAATTCAATTAAAACTATTATCTATGCCTGAATTTTTGTAATACGATCCTAAAAATAAAATTGATCCCTAAGTAGTATGTATTATTACTAAACATGAATTAATTAACATAGTTATTAATAAATTTGAGAATGAAATAAACTTAAGCAATTTATCAAGTAGCATTAAATATTTTCCACTTATAATAGTTTGACATATTATTTGAAAGAAAATAAGTGACATTTACGTTTTACTAACAGTTAGCTTAATGTTGATTTATTTTTTTTTAATGTCTCATTTTGTCACATACTTGGTTAGTCTAGAGGTTTAGTAAATAGCAGGTAGATTTTATATCAAACGGCATAGATTAAAATGAGAAGTAAGATCATAATCAGCATGATTCATAACAAAAGACTGGATGTTGTCACCGCTGCTGCTTATCTAGAGAGAGACCTGCTGATTAGAATAAACCTGAAAAACCTGATCTAAGCACGGTTGGCAAGTGCTGAAAGTTAGTCAGGCTCTGTTTGATGCAGTTAGTGCCGAAGGTTCGTGCAGTTTCAGTTAATATACTTTAAGGTTCCAATAAGCCATTAAAGCACCAGAAGTGATAAGTTATTTTGTATTATTTTAAGTCTCACTAGATGCAAAGAATAAGTTTTACTTGAATTTTTACATTTTTGTAACCATCTACTGTGGTGCATCTTGTGACCACAGTGAGTATTAATAAAAGGCAATAATTCGCTTTAATACGTAGAGATTATTTTTAAGGGTAAGCAGTTAGTTAAAAATAATTAAATTAAGTAGTTTGACAACCTTAAACATTATGGATTTACATGGTGACTATTAAATTTTATTTTTTAACAGTATTTGTTAAAAAAGCCCTATTAAATCAAAATCTAATAAAATTTCACAGTTTAAAATACACGCAATTTTATGACACTGATTCTTAAATGATATTAGGATTAGGACACATTAAAAGCTACAAAACGTTTATGTTTTGTAACAACAACACTCAACAAAATATTTATCCGCCATTTTAATTTAAGCCTTTCCAATCACTTTGGCTGGTTTATGCCGATTTCCTTCTCTTTAAGCATCTTTTTTAACAATTAGAGATTTGACTCAATATGCAAACTAATGCTCTCACTAGTTTCTGCGTGCTTTATCTTCTAACTTGTCAACCTCTTCATAATGTACCTATGAGCGTTTACTTGATCTGCTAAAAGTTAAATAGTCCAAAACCCCCGACAGGCTTGAAGCATATTATTGCTATGTCTGAAAGTAACTACAATATCAAAGGTTTAAATAAGCCTCTTATTTAAAAAGAACTTAGAATATAAAGGCATGTTCTGATGCTAACAAAATCAATTATAGCTCCAGTGACGTAATTAAACAAGAACAGTCAAATTCAAACTAAAAATGTGGAATAGTGGTCAAAGATTATACAATTTAATTTTAATTTAATCTGGTTCAGAAATTCTATCATATGAGGAAATAGAAATGGGAAATTATAGTAAAGGTTGAAATAATAAACAATTGAGTAATTTACATAATAATAACTGCACAGAGCTTTGAAGAATAATTTTCTTTATGTATTCAGTTTCTTTCTTCAGCATGTTTCCTTTTCATTTTAGAATTTTTGGATTTAATTAAGGATAAGGAAATATATGCTTTCTCAACATTTGGATTTTACTCTGTATATTTGTTCAAGTATTTGTTTATTGTTTTAAACTCAATCTAATCAAAAGACAAAAATTATACAATCATCAGCATTACTAGAAATCTCCAGAAAAGCATTTATTGGCTTTCTTTTGTAAACAGTAATGGCATTTAGCAACTGATCACAATTTCATAACGGTCTTTCTGAAATGGTGCTACTATTGGCAAAGTAATATTTCTGAATAAAATCATGGTAAATTAAAAATAACTTACTTGCTTTGGTTAACATCAACTAATGAGCCAATTTTTGAAGTAGTGAATGAAACATGTTCATCTCCCATCACTATTTCCAATTCCTATACATAAAAAATATTAATGTTAATGAATATTAACTTTCAAAGAAAATAATTTCCTAGATTTACAAAATTATGTTTCTTTTCTAATACTCAGTTAAAAATTATACAGTACAAAGTCTGTAATCCGGACGTCCATTATCCGTAATGATCTATAATCCGACCTCAAAGCCACAAACTGTTTTTTTTTTTTAATGCTTTATGCATGCGCCTAAAGAATGAGCAAACATTACGCGCTCTATACTTCCACAGTCATAACATCTTGGTTCGCTACTCTTATTAGGTATAGCACGTGATTTATTTTGTGTGTTAGTACTTAAATAACCCTTATTCTTCGTATCTGGAACGTGGATTTTCTAATAAATTTTTAATTTCTCTTTGAATTAAAAAATAGTTTTACGCCCATACAAAATAAATTTGTTACTACTCTGATAGGGTATCCCATTGATTACATATTCAAGAATTGATGAATCATCAACAAAACCGTGTCTGGCTATTTCACGCATGGCAATTAAATATTCGGAAAGGGATTCACCAGGTTTTAAGTGTCGTTAAAGCCAAACACAGTCTAAATGAACCGCATTTTTTTCTACTTAGCATGATATTACTTACGTAATCAGAACAGCTCTGCTTAATGATTTGTTTCTCTAACCATTCCGTAATCCGAAATTCCAGGGGGAGGGGGCACAATGAACTGGAAGTTGATCTGTCAGCATTATCCTCATCTTCAGGGCAGATATTTTTATTTTATTCAGCTTATAATTCCTAAGTGTAGTATTTCATCTTGATGTACTTCGTCTTTGATATGATTTAAATCAATTTCCTTGTCATTATAAATATCACGAATACACATCAAATAGTTTTCTGGTCGCAATTTCTAATTTCGACTATGCATAATGTATGCTTTACCCATGCGCGCGTTGAAAGAAATGTTCAATAAAGTAAACAAATAAATATTAAGCTTTTTTTCTTGTAAAATTTGATACCCTTTAGATCATAATTGCTCTTTATTTCATAAATTACGGTTTCATATTTTTAATTGTATAATTTCTGCATGCCATCTTACTAGATTTAAATTGATGATCTATAATTTGAAAAAAACCCTTAATCCGAAATCGCCGAAGCCCCGACGAGTCCGGATTACGGACTTTGTATTGTATTTATTTTTAACCCTTTATCAGTATCACCTGAATTCAATTCAGGCAATCGAATTGTGCTGAATACGGAATGCCCAAATCGACTCTGAACAGGAGAAAAATTAGTGTTTCTATTCCATGAAACCTTGAATGAATTCATTTTCTTTTATAAGATGCTTAATGGAATGTAATTCAATGTTTTATCAAGAGACGACGACATTTGTTCCTCATTTATTGGGATTATTGGGCAGGATTAGTTGAACAGGGGCTTATCTAGAGTGAAAGAATAGAAAATGTTTTCATTTTTAACATTTCTGTGAACTATATTCCACAGGTAAAAGGTTACTAATAACTAACATTCAGCATTTTACAAAATAATTGGCATTAAAAAAACCCCTCTACAGTAGGAATTTGAGATATTATGTGCTTTAATGATAAGCTACAAATTAAGCTTTTTTTTGGGGGGGGAGGGGCTAATTTATAATAAGATTTATTTAAGTACTAAGCTGTTAATAATAAATATTTGGCAAATTCTTGATACAAAAACAATTTTCATTAGCTATTTATGGCATACGAAATCACATATTAGACATCAGAAAAAAAAAAAAAAAAAAAAAAAAAAAAAAAAAAAAGAGGTTTATCTTGTGGCAGTAAACAGACCCAAAAGACATTTCATGTTTCACTTAGCTGAATATGTTGGAAGGTAACATTTACAAAATTATTTCTGCACTGTGTGCAAGTTTCTTCCATAAAGAAGAAAGATGACTCTCTCAGAATAAATTTCTCTCCTTCCTTAATTTCAGAAATGCTAGCAGGTGTAGCTAACAGTTGCTAAACATTCAAAATGGAACAGCAAGGTGTCGGGAGAAAAATCTATTTTTAAATGCTGATGCCTCTTTACCATGATCACACATTATCTGAATGAGTACAAATTATAAATTCATTTAAATACGACTCACAAAGTTAATTTTATTTTACGGATTTTGCAGAGAATAAGATTGATTACAATTTTCTACTAGATGAAATATCTGTTCTAATAATATACTGGCAATGATAACCAGTATTAAGAAATATATAAATTAACTTCCTATTTAAAACAATATTTATCATTTTTATATTTTGTATAAAAATAATTTTTTCCCTTCAAAAACTTCTTGAAAGTGATTTCATTTGATCAACTTTCATTAATATTACAAATTTTTAAAACTAAGCATTTTTATAAAATTCAATTATTTAAAAGACATTAAGATATATAATATACATACATCTATATATATATATATATATATATATAATACTATTAAAATACTGTATAAAAATTTATTTATTATAATTTATGGTTTTAATTGAATTTCTGTTCCTTGGAGATGGTATTAAAAAGTTTTCTAATGACAAATTAAAAGGTATACAGACATCTGCATCTGAACTAAACGGGTGATGCCATTTCAAATAATCCATGTTGGCTATTTTCAAATGTGAAAGGGAGAAATAAATGTGTATTGCAATATCAAGTATAAATTGCAACACATTTATACACCTATATCTAAAATTGGGATTCTCAACCAGGGGGAATTCCCCTTTCGGGAAGAATTTCGTAGTTTCAGGGAAGGGAGGGAAGAATGAGGTCAGCCTTATATTTATTTAGTATGCAGATTTATACTATTAATATAAAAACTGCTTTTGTTCAAGTTTTAGTATTTATCAATATTTTCTATATCAGGGGTAAGACTTGGTATCTGTGGTGTGGGAAACCAAATTGTACATATATTATACATCATGAATCTCTTAAATATGTTAGCTTTACTTCCTTTATTCAAAAACATTTCCGTCAAACATTGATTGTATTTGGATTTTCAAACTTTCCATCATAGTCCAGAGTTGCTGCTGATTCTGGACAGGAATCTTCATCATTTAAATTAGAACTGTCTTCTGATTCACTTTCATTTTTACAATTTTTAACTATTATTTTGCCCATCTCTAAATACTTTTACTTTTTTTGTTTGGCAAAATGCTTAACTCTTCAGCTTCAACTAATTTTGCTACTTCCGCTCTACCGATACATTGATTCTCTTTCAAAATTAATTTTCAGTCACTTTAGTTAGTGACTGGTAATCACTGTTTCTCCCTGTATTACTTTCAATAATGAGCCCAACTCATCTTCCGATCCACTTATTAAAACATAATCGTTATTTACTTTTCATGAAATTAATCGTATTACTTTCGATTTCAGTTTCTTGGGAAGCCTTCAGTTTAATTCGCAGAGTGTTGAATATTATTTTGCAACTGTGAAAATGGACATTCATTAAGCATAGCGTATGTGTAAGGTATTACCTATTTTGGCGTATCCAATATGTGGTAAATCAATCCATGTTTGACCAACTAATAAGTCATGCGGTTGCGTTTTAGCTCCTACAATTAGAACTGCAATGTCCTTTCCTTCCACATTATCAATCTCTAAATTAACAGTTACTTTTCCCAATGTTCTAGCGGCTGGTTTACTCTGGTTCCCAGAGCCAAACAATTCCTCCACATCAGGTTTTATAATAAGAAACAGTTTCTTAGTCGCAGACTGTTTCAATAAACGTGAACTAGAACCCGTATCTACAACTGCAGTAATTTCTCTCCATTATTGATGCGAGCATACTTTAAATATACAGTTGGTGAAACACCTGAATTCTGGTCCACGGATAAATTATTTTTAACATTTGTCAAGTCTGAACTCTTAGATGTACACTTTTTAAAATTATGACCTTTTTCATTACATTTCCTGCAACTAATTTCTTTTTTAGGTTGAGGACAATCCATCGCTATATGTCCATAATCATTACAATTGAAGCATTTCGGCTCACCCTTTTCATTGCAAGTACCAGAATTATATTCCCTTTTCCTATCGTCTATTTTATAAAATTTATCTCTCAAATTATATTTATTATCAAAACTGTTTTTAAAATCCACTTTAAAATTACCATCTGTCTGCACAGAATCGTTGACATTTCTGGGTCTTGAATACTGATTATAGGATCCCTCAGAAAATTTAGAACTAAATTTAGGCTTAGGATCATGCCTAAAAGTTTGTTTTCTACTTGAAGTACTTTTATCCCTGTTCGAATATTTTCATATTCATCTACTTTTTCAGCCAACTCTTCAGGATTAATGAATTTAGACCAATTATCGATGAAATGATCTCGTGTAGCAATGGGGGTCCTTTTCTTTAATCGATCCATACAAATAAACTGTTTTAAAGAGTCAAAATCTATTTCATTTAATCCAGCAAACCACTCTAAAATAATTTTTAAATTCAAACGTGAATTCTCTCCACATATTACGTAACATTTTAATATGATCAACGCACTTTTTACCGAAACTGTTCAGGGCTTAACTTAAATTTTCTCAATAGCAGTTGGTTAACGTGCTTATAGTCGTAAACTTTTTCTTCTAATTCACACGCAATTAATTGAGTTATTTCATAAGGCAATAGATTGAACAGCTGAGAAACCCAATACGTTGTGCCTGTCTCTCAAATAAAACTAAATAAAAACTTACATCACCTTCATTCAAATCACACTTATGCATTAATTTACTCATATCACAAATATTACTTCTACTAACATTAGAAGGAACAGAATCATTTACATTACTACTACTGATTTCCGCTTCTATTTTCAATTTTTCGAGTTCAAATGTTCTTTGCTTAACTTTTTCTAAAATTTCTAACTTTTCCTTTTCTGAACAATCATTTATAATTCTATTTAGCATTTGTTTAGTAAAGTCTTCCTTATAGTTCTTACAATTCAAATAATATCCCTTAAGCTTACAATTTTTATAACAGAAGGGATCTACATCAAGTTCAAAGGCAAGTTCTTTTAA